TGGTCAAGCAAATGAGGGTCGGCTTTCGGATATTTCTTCCTCAAATGCCCATGCAACTGCTCATAGTAGGAGTCCGTAGGGGTCATCTCCCCCATTCTCTCGATTTCTCCTGGCACTTCGACGATGTGGTAGACCGGAGTCCTTCGCGTGTCAATCGCGCCACTTCCTTCCGCTTCTCCTCTGTTCATGAAGAAGTACGTCGTGCCTACCCAAGGCTTCCCCAAGTCTCTGTGCGGATCTTCGGCAGTCCTCCAGTCATCCTCCAGGACTCCCTCAGGGCTGCCCTCGCACTCAAACCGGGTAATCCGCTTACCTCGGGCTTCTCCAACGTTAAAGGGGCAATCGAACGCACCCATCGGCGAGTACAAAGCCCGTCTCGGGACCAGGTGCTTCCTAGCCCACGTCCTCTCGGTAGCATCGTACTCCCAGAAATCCCGGTTCCCTTTCGTCCGAGACATTGTCTGGTTGACTCCAATCAACGAAGCCACAGAGAAGATCATCGCGGCAAAGGCTCCAAGCCCCCACCTTCTCGGTCGGCCGTTTCCCCGCGAAATCCTCGCAGCGCCGATACCGGACGCGCGCTCCGGGAGTACTTCCTCATCCTCCCGAGCCGCTCCTTCCTTATTCAAGTCCGTCGCGATGCACTCTTCGCATCCCTGCAAACGCACTTGTCGGACTTCCTCACTTCCGCATTGACTGCACGAGTCCGGCCGCAAAATGCCGGTCCCACAGGAACTGCAGCTGTCATCTTCAAAGTGGCAGCTGTCCTGAAACTTCGAATCCCACATGTGGCAGCGCGTACACTCACTGGCCGCGATGCGCCCTCTGCGCACTTCCGCAACCGTCTCACCGGCCTCGATCACGACCGGTTCATACTTCGCGGCTATCAAGACCATACCTTCTTGGCTTCCGGTAGGCCAAATGCCTGGCACCGCTTCGACCGAGTCACCAATGGGCAAGATCGCTTCGCATGATCTTCCCTGGTCATCCACATCGAGCCCTTCTCGGACCCGATCGACCGGGATGAGCACTCCATCACCAGGGAAGAGCTCAACTGGCTCACCGCAGGCCGCAACCAAGAGGTCGCTTGGCGCACCATCCCTCGGAAGAGCCGAATGATCATCAAGGGAAGAGGCCACCGAGAACGGGTAAGCTCTGTCGTGCCTCCCCTTGCTGCGATCTTCGCAGCGAGGCATCTTCACTCCCACGGTATCAAGGAAGTGAAACCCCGGTCCCGGCCTGAAGCCCAAGCCGCCTCTCGCTTCGCAATCGAGGGCTCGGCCTCCGAGTATGATTCCGTGCCAATCTGAGCAGCCTTTCGCTGCGATTTTACACCGGATGTACAGCTCTGGTCCGTCCTTCGACGCCTCCGGTGTCGGTCCTTCCTGCAGCCTAGCTCGGAGGACCACGCTCCCCTTCAAAGGCACCGGCTTGCCCGATGCAATGCCATGCACAAACTCAGGAAAGACCCACTTCTCGAACCTGAGGATCGGGTAGTCCTTGCTGTCGGGCTGGACTCCTTTCTTCCTCGCGTGCTCAACCATGCTGACCACCAGCTCCTCCGTGATGTGATTGGCACCGGCACCTCCATCCAACATACATTCCACCTGCTTCCCCAGGATCTTCACCACGGTCCGGTACTGGTACCCTCCGGACTCGTTCTGGACGACCTCCCACCAATCTTTCGGCAGATCGTCAAGCTCCGCGATCCCTGGACCTCCGCCGCCGTTGCTCGGCGACGTCTTCAACACTCCGCCAGAGATCACTTCTGAGTTACTGTACTCTCCGATCGTCACGCTAAGTGCAGCGAACGGGTTGATCAGGGAGCTCGCATCCGGCTTCGGCCCCATTGCCAAAGACTGCTGAGTCGCGACTCCTTGCGTCCTTCCGGTCTCTTCGCCGATCACGAGCGCGTGCAGCATATCGCACCCGGACCCCTTCTTGCAGGCGCCGTTCTTCCGGAAGAAAGGGCAGAGGACTTCCTTCTTACTCTTTCCATCATACTTGCCCTTGGAACCGCTCTTCCCTTTAGAATCTCCTTTTCCTTTTCCGGTTCCCTTACCTTTCCCTTTCTGGTCCCCCTTGCCCTTTCCTTCGCCCTTAGCCGCGAGAACTGATCCGCTCTCCGCGTGCTGCTTCTTCTCCGCCAGCGCCTTTTTCCGAAGCTCCTTGTCGTGGGAGTAGTGGCACTTGTCTCCCCACGGACAGGTTCCATGATCCCTGTAGTGGAAACACAGCTTCTTGCCGTTCGTGCCTTCCGTGGCCGCCAAAACCTGCTGCTTCGGCGCCTTTGGCTCCTTCGGTTTCTTTGGCTCCTTCTTCGGAGGTTGCTGTTGCCTCTCCGTCTCCGTGGAGTAGACAGCATTCGCAGTCGCCCGATGAGTGGCTTCTCGCTGCTCGACCTCCAGAACCACTCGATGCGCCTCCTCCCATGTCTGAGGTCCTCTCAGCTGGGTCTCACCAGCCCACAACCTCTTGTCACTCCGGATCTCTTTCTGCAGGTGCGCAGGCATCTTGCGAAGATACGACAGGTACAGCTCCCTCTTACTCTTACCCAGGCCAACTGTCTCCAGCTCCGTGACGCTCGCCTCAAAAAGCGGTTCGAACTGGTGCCCTGTCATCTTCCCTTTCGCCAAAGCTACGTGCTCTGCGTCAACTCGTATCTCCCTTTCCTCCGGGCTCTCCGTGAACAAGAGATGCTTCGCCTTGATCCGCTTGTACACCTTTTCCGGGTCTTCCTCTATCTCGCCGGCTCGGTAGGCCGACTTATAGAGGTTCGTGAACGTCTTGAGGCGAGACCCCCTGCACCGAGATCTCAGCGCAAGCAGCATCTCCCGATAGTTCATGCCCTTGCAGGAGTTCGCGAGACCACAGTTGTCCTCGAAATGGTCGTAGAACTCGGACACGTCCTTAGAGTCGCTCCTTTCATCCCCAAGCGTGGGCCATTGCAAGTCTGTTTTTACCGACATAACTTGCGATTGATTACGGCCCTCCAGCGCCTTCATCAAGGCCGCTGTTTGATGCTCCAGCGCGTTCGCGAGCTCTTTCTCAGGAGAGGACGCCTCTGAGGCCGCCCTGTCCTTGTCCTTGTCCTTCTTCAGGGACTCCAGCTCCATCTGCATTGCCACCATCTTGGACCTCAAGGCTACAACGCCTTCGTCTCCATCGGTGGGTTCACGGCTCCGCTTCGAACCTCTATTCCGGTCATCATGAAGCTCGTCGGATGGAGTAGAGAACACTTTGTCAGGAGCCGTACTCACTCGGCCTCCCAAGTCCTGGATCAACTCCGCGATCGCGACCGTCGTGAGTCCTTTCTCCTCTGGCTCCTTCGTGTCATCGTTGGCCAGCATGATGAACTGTTCCCTCAAGTGACCAACCATGGTCCTAGGGTCAAAGTCACCCAGAGCTTCGTATCCTTCTTGTATCAACTCTGCCTTCATGATGACTGACCGCAGGTCAGCCGGTCCCACTTCTTGTCCCAGCACTTCTAACGCATGGGAGATCCGTTCGGCCCGCGCCCGATAGGCCGCGATGCTCTCATACCTCGGATCATGAAGTGCGAACAGCTTCCTTTGCATCTCCGACATGGAGACACCGGTGTATCCCGAAGAGGGAGCCGGGCTAGCTCTGCCCTTCTCCTCCCCTCTTCCACCTTCATCTCTGATAGCCGGCCGGGCTTGCTCACCCGGGGCCTCGCCCGCAAACCCCACTGGTCGCGGCGACGGCCGAGTCCCAACGTCAGGCTCTGCTGGCCCCATAAGAGCTGGGATCGGCCTCAGCCTTGGTCTGGCTTCCGGCTCTTCTTCTTCATCTTGTTCTTCTTCTTCTTCAAGGTCCTCAATTCGGTCTTCCCCATATAGCTCCGCCGTCACGGCTCTCCAAAGAGCTACTTCTTCGACCGTAGACATTCCGCGGCCATCCTGCCGGCGGGTCGGTCGACGACCTTCACGCTTCCTCCAGCGCTGCCAAGCCGGGAAGCTCATTTCCTCAGGCCTTGGTACCCTTCCATCTCTGATGCAGTCAAGCAGAGTGACACCAAGTTCTTCGCCTGAAACTTCCTGGCTCATCCTTCAGTAGAGGCTGCCCACACAAGCCTTTTACTGCGGTGTGCTTACAAGGGTCAGGGAGTTCAGTATTCCCAGAACAGCCCCCAACTGTGAGAGGCGTTAATCCTAACCAAGGACTAACCCAGAATCCACGTCTCACCCGTGTCCCGACTCTCTGGCACACCAGCGAAGCGGCTCGTTGTTTTCACAGGCAGCGCACTCATTCACCGTGCGCATGTGGCTTGAGCCAAAATAGGCACGCCACTCCAACTTCCTCAAGGTGGACATGTCAACTTGCAAGACATGTCCACTCATGCAACCTCAAGCAAAAATAGCTCACTTACCAAAGCCTAATGCCTATGGCTGCAATGACAAAATCATGCATGAGAATGCCAAGATCCGTAATGTATGTATGTATGTATGTATGTATGTATGTATGTATGTATGTATGTATGTATGTATGTATGTATGTATGTATGTAATGTATGTATGTATGTATGTATGTATGTATGTATGTATGTATGTATGTATGTATGTATGTATGTATGTATGTATGTATGTATGTATGTATGTATGTACAGAGTTTATTATATATAATATACATATATATATATATATATATCATATATATATACATATATATATATATATGTATGAGACACCTGCATAAATCCAATAGACATCATCGTTGTTTGTGAGAAACACTACTTGAAACTTCGTATCGCAGAGGCACGGTGGGAAGCATGCAAAAGGGGTTCAGCCCCCGCATTGTTTTGCAAGACCAACATACCTTTTGAGCATCTCCCACCCCCTATTTTCTTCTGGGTTCCCTTCAAGCAGCAAAGGGCTTCACCATTTTGATAATCCCCGTGATGGGCCAGGGGGCGAGGGGGATTGCGCTCAACAGTTCCAAATGGAGGTTTCCGGCGGACTGCTTCGGCCGACTGCTTGCAGGCGGAATCCGAAGAGGCCAAGCAGGAGAGGGTGCGATTCTACCGCAGGCCTGCGGGTTTTGGGCTTTGCTTTAGCAGGGCTCCTGAAAAGATACATTTTCCCATTTGAAACATGGCTTTTTCGGCCGAAATAGAGGGACACCACCATTTACAAGGCAATGTTCAGGTGTATAATGTAAGGATCCCTGAATTTAGGTTCCCGGGGGGGGGCGGCTCGGCGACGGTTTCTTGGGGCTTGTTGAATGTGACCGAAGGTCTGAGGTGATGGAATCTTTGCCCCCCCCCCCCGGTTGCCCGTTTTAGCCACCTGATTGAACATGTTAATAGAACCCCGGCAAAAATGTGTCGACGCCTTTTGCAGGACATGCCCATGTAATTCAAACGATTTTATAAAACATCATAAGAGAATGTATTCCAAACAAAAGAAGAAGTGATGGACCAATTTGTATGTCTGGAGACGTAAATTTGTACGCTTGGTCTCCAGTTTTTGATAAAGTGATGGCCAAACTGGGCAAAGAAACAAAAGTTCATCTCGATCGCGGCAGAAGGATCGATCCGTTTTTTTTCTTCCCCCAGGCTGGGCCGGCAGCGCAAGTTGCTCATGGCCGCGGCCTCAAGCAAGCGAGCGAGCAGCTGATGGCTTCTGGGGGGCTGCGGGGAAAAAGCTGTTGGGCGTCCCATGGCGGTTGGGGCGTCGTTTTTTTTTTTTGGTGATTTCATTTCATGTTTTTTTTCTCTCTCTCTCTCTCTCTTCTTTTTTTCTTTTCTTTTTTGTGATTTCAGGTGGGTGATAGAAATTTGTCCTTCACTCAGATCGTGGTTTGGATGGGTGGTTTGGAACCCCAACCTAACCGCCAAGCACCATGTTGGGGCAAGCTGAAACAACAGCAGAAAACCGACGGATATATGGCCGCCAAATCAAGGACAGAGAGGCAAACAAGGAGGAAAAGGAGGACAAGAAGGGCTAGGGGAAGGTTTTATGAACCATTAGGTCAGGGAACCTAACCGGGTTCCAGCTTGCACCAAAGATCACTCATTTGCATAGCATCCAAGAACCCATTTGTTGGAGCTCATTCATCCAATTGGGGCAGGTCTGACAAATCAAGCAGGATTTTGTTTCTTTCCCCATTGCTGCTTCTCCCGAAAGCCGTGTTTGCTTTCTTGACCTGCAACTCGTATGTCAGTTTGAGAGCTTTAAGCGTTCCTGTAGCATTCAGCCGACTGAGTTTCATAGAGGCCATGGTAGGGATTCCCTGCATATAACGGAAAGGCAGCCAGTCGCAACTTCTGCTTCTTCGCCCCAGAAGCTGCAGGGGATCCTTTGGAGCCATCCGAGCTTTCCAGTTGAACTAGACTGAAGGAAATGTTGACGAGGCTCTTTCTTGTAGATATGCTTACTAGATATGCATGAAATAAGTATGAACATCTTGAAAGTCTGTGAGAAAATGTCTGATAATGAAACTCAAAAGCTCTAGCAAACTTTCCAAAGATCTCGAAAAGCTTTACATCGGTCTTATGACTGTCCGCAAAGAATCAGGGAAGTTAGATTTGATACTGAATACAGTTACAGAACAGAGGGTTTGTTTTCGGATGGTTTCCTGGGACGCGGCAGCCCGACTTGTTTGTTCATTGGACAGTCGAGTTCGGACCCACTGGATGTGGGAGATTCTGTTCCTGGAGGTGCTGTTTTGCCAAACAAGTTGTCTCAAATCAATCGGAAGGATTTACCCTCCCACGTTGCATGGCACCTGACTGATGGTCCTTGGTTTGGACCATTTCACTTTCAATTGGGCCTTGTATGTTCGTCCCTGTTGCCTGCCGGAGGACAGGGGGGTGGGTGTGTGGGTAGGGTTTCGGGTATGGTTGCGTGTCCTGTCCGCCCACCCCGCAATCTTTTCCGTCTACATTGCCGTTTTACCGCACGCTGAAGGGCGCGCACTAGGGTCTTGTACACTTCTTTCATCCATCTTTCGGCAACTCTCAAACCTATGTCGAGCAAAATCAGGCCAACGCTGAGGGCACGGGCTGCAGGCCTCCCAGATATCCTCCCACAGGTGAATCAAGCAGCACGACCACGCGGAAGCCCAACTAGATCTCGCGGCATGCTGCCGGAGAGTAGCGTGAACTCTAGCATGCTGAGCTTGACATCCCTATGCCACAAAAGTCTTCTCCCGGAAAGACCGCAAAGAAAAAGGCTCCTCGACTTCGAGCTTGAGACAAACTCATGGCGAGCTAAACCTCCGCCTTGTGCTGCGTTTGCGAGCCTACTGCTTCAACTGACCGTTCTCGGGCGACTCTGCACCTTCACACTCTTCCCGCCAAGACTGCCTGAAACGCCAAGCGGTTCATCTCGTTCTGTTTAGGTTGCAGCGGCTGGCCCGAAATCCCAACGACTCAGGGACAGCGCCGAAACCATGCCCGTCAGCAATGCGCGCGCAGCGCTGGGAAGTCGAAGTCGGTTGTATCCATGGCTACTCATTGACTAAGCCTTATTGACGCAGGGCGAGAGGCTTCTGAGGCCATGACTTTCAACGGGACACCCTCAAACCGGAGAACTCCGGCACGTAGTTTACGAAAAAACTCGGCATCCGAGGGCCAATGCAGCAGATCCATCAGCCCGGGAGCCTTGGAAATACCCCCCGAAAGGAGGCTGGTTTGGCTCGATGGGGACATGACCGTGTGTCCACATCTTGGCTTCCTGAAAATTGGATGCAATATGAAAGAAGTTAAATTCAGCACATGGCAGAGGTTCATGAGCCCTCAATGTGACTCGGATAAGAGAGCACAGAATAGAGGCTTGGAGGTGTAAGGAAAGCGACCATGAAATCTAGTCCCAGCTGCAGCAAGACTATTGAAAAGTCCTTTCAAATCCATTCTCTTCCCTCCAAGGTCCGCTTGACATGCGCCTTCTGAAAGATGAAAGCGGGCGGGGTTGGCATTGGCTTTGAAGCGAGGCCCGGACAGCTGGGAGGATCCTGCCCAAGAGCAGCCCAAAAGCCGGGACAACTAGCATTTCCGTGAGGTTGGAGGTCAGCTTGCCAGAAATGCGATTGTGCCCACCCGAAGAATCATTGCCGGGCTTGGCTTCCTTGCCTTCGCGCTGGCGAGGGGCATAGCCTAGGCCCCCCCGAAATCAATACTGGTGAGAAAGTGAGGAAGGATTTTTCCAGACAGAGGTCTGACCAAGGTTGCACTTATTGGAAGATGCCTTTGGGTTGGTCATGCCCGAACATGTCTCCAAGGCTTCTTGCCCTCCCTTCCCACTTTTGTTGTTTTCTTGGCTTAGGCCGGGAAGCGCGGGTGCTCAGGCGTCCGAAATGGCCACCGCCGGGAAAGCAAGGGCTTCCTTTTTGGGGTGGCCAAATGGGCTTAAGCTGAAGGGTTCATGCCTTCCAAAAAGCAACCCCTGGGTTTGAGTCCCTTGAGCAAGCGCAAAATGGAACCTCGCCCAAGGGAAACACAAGCTTGCAAAAGCGGTTGTTGTCAACTCTGTGACAGGAAGCTCAAACAGTCGGTGTAAGAGGTCCTACTAAGGCAGCCATGATCACGACACCTGGCACGATTGCTTTGACTAAGGCAGCGCCCCAAAACTCATTGCCAAAATGGACCGATGAAAACTGAGTGGGGGCGTCCAAGCTGCATGTGTCAGAAAGACAAGACGTTTGCTATTCTTGGATTGCTAGAGGCACTTGTTCTGGGCATGGCAGCCTCTGCCAGCCCGATTCGACTTACAGTCCTTAGATTTGCGCTGGAGAGGCGGTTCGCCTTGGAAGATTCAAGGGCCACTTTGGAGGATTGCGTGGGTGTGGATGACGCAGGTGGGGAGAACATACTTCAGCTTGAGATGCTTGAATCCCGGCGACCGCTTGAAGCACCTGTTCTTGCTGACTTGTAGATTTGATTTTCTCCTGTTCATAGCGGGAATCGGCCAAGGAGTCGCCATGTCGACGCTTGTTGTTTTGTTCATGTTTCTAGTGGCACAACCATCTTGCAGCCTTTCATCAGAGACAACATCCCTGATTTCCCTTTTCTGTCTTTTGAACGAAGGCACCCCTCTCATCGAGGCCGCATCAAAGCCATACCGACTTCAGACGCCGAAGTCCTCCAGTACATCTACCCCGTGCCTCTTTGAGTCCAAACTCCCTCGTAACTGACGTTTCGGGTGTTCTTGTTGGACCGAATCCCTTGTGAAGGGACCGGGCCCCTGTCAGGTTTCATGTTAGTTGGGAGAGTAAACCATCCAGAGTCGCAAGTTGGCGTTTAAACCATGGCACCTGTTCAGGCCAAGAGCCGCTCAACGCACCTAATCCGATGCTCCAATCAACCAGCGAGCCTCCGGGTGCAAACCGCACGTCCACATCATACCCATTCAGAGCAAGCCTAGACAAGTAACCAAATCGATCCACACCATAATCATTCTTGGAAGTATTCAACGCAGACTAAACAGATGCCCATCTCAGCCCAAACCCATCTGCCGTCAAATCCATCAAACCCAAACCAGCGAGACCTCCAAAGCATGCGCTCGACGTCAGACCCAAACTGCGCCCTCCCGGCCCAACGGTTTGCACTGAGGGTTCGGCTGAATAGCCTCCAGCTGGAGGCACGGACGGGGATGGGATCTTGTCTCGGCAAAGTAGGTTTCTATTTTTATTTTGCTTAGATTTCTTTAAATCCGATACTTCAGATTTTTCTCGGTCAATTAAAGATGGAAAAAGCTGAACATCGGTCTGTTTTGACATGGGAACCCGGTCACAGATGGAGGCAAGGGGCCGAATGACCGCCTCGTGGGACAGCAGAAGCCCTTTGAGATTTGAAGCGGACCGCGTTTTGGGCAGCCAGGTGTTGTCCAAGGGTTGTGGCATTCCATTCCGGGTGAACCTTTGGCTTGCGCAGAACATAGAGCGACCTGAGTAACTTGGGTCACTTAAATCGCCCTGCAAAGCCAAGAGCACAAGCACAAGATCCTTCCCCCAATGGCCTGAAGGGTTCTGGCCCGATCCCTGAGTTCAGTTTGGAAACTCGGAGTGAAATCGCATCAACCTGATCTTTGGCGTGCACCTTGCCAGCGGATGTTCAGCAGAGCGCACAGCTGCTTACGCCTGCTTCGCCTGGCAACATACAGGCTTAGTGAGGATTGATCCAGTATCGGCCCATTGGCATGTTTAGCCAGGCCATTGCCTTGGAGTGTCTCAAGAGGGGGGCTTTGTATGTCTGGTGCCGGAAGCGCTTAGGCGCCAATCGACGGGCTGCCAACATTTGTAGTTGAACGCAGCATTGGCCCAGTTGTCGATTTTGGTTCCTTACATGGTGCTGTTGTTGGCATATCAAGGCATCACCCAAGCCAAGACTCTCATCCTGGAAAGAAACTGCTTCGTCAAACTCTGGGTGTGTCTCTAAAGTCAGCCCAGAAAGCTCAAAAAGTCGTAAACCACCCACATGGTTTCCCTTCAGAACCTGTCCGCCGCCCCAAAGCCACCCAGCGCTCAGAGCTACCCCGACCTCGCGAGGTCAGCCGGCTCGACTGAGCTCGCCCGGGCGGAAAGTAGCTTCTGGTTCGTGCGGCTTAACTTTCAGCGAGATCGGCAAGGAGAAGGTGGCGTGTTGAGATGGCAAACCTGAACCTTTGGGCTTCTCCCGTTCAATGCATAGATATAAAGTAGATGTACGAATATGTGTACATGTATATATATGTATATGTATGATTATCTTCGGGCTGTGAAAGGCCATCCCTTGCAATAGCAGGTCTTTTTCGGCAAGTGCCAGTTGGTTTCATTGCAATGCTCAGACATCCCTTTGTCCGACCCCGCACGAAGGCCTTTTTTCGTTCGATCATTTCTTGCCGAGATGCTGCACGAAGCTAGACCGAGCCCTTCACGGGTTCGGGGTGTCGGATGCCCTGCCACATGTCACATAGCTCGACCTGCAAGACGCAAGAGTCTGCCGCCACTCCAAAACTGGAGTTGATGGATCCGTGGCGCGGGGGGAAAACCGTCAGGCAGCGAATGGATTTGGCTTGGGGTTCTGATTGGTTTTTGGCTGGTGCAGCTGATGCATTGGGAAAGTCAAGAGAAGGCGCCTCGCTCCGCCGCAATGGCTCAAAACTCGTCAGCGCTTGCACTGCACGTGTTCCCCCCCCCACCCCCCCTAGGCCCTTTGCAGACCCACATTCTTTTCTATTTTTGAGGACGTAGGTGCAACCACCCTTACGCTGCATTGGATGGGGGGCAACCTGCTTCAGTGCAAAGGGGCCGGTGGTTCTGCCTATGCTAAACCATGAGCCACGAGTCAGGAGAGTTTGAGCTCTGGGTGACCCTAGCATCTAGGGGTCCTGTTGACAGCAAACTGTCTGAAAAGCGTTGTCCCCGGAACTCTGGCGGAAGGACCCAACAATTTGCTGCTTGAAGAAGAGGTCCCTCATTTTTCAGCCCTTTCCTTATCAAACAAAAGTTCAATTTGGGTGGTGTCATGCTCCCCAAGAAGCAACCAGGTTTCAGAACATGTTTCCATGATGCTTCCTGTTTCGTTCAACAAATCTCTCCTTTACCTGGCTTGGGGGGACATGTGCGAGGCTTGCCTAGGCCCAAATCCACAGCCTCTAGCCCCAACCCCTCCAAAGCACCTTCACCAACTCCAACCACCCCGACCCACCCCGACCCACCCCGACCCACCCCGACCCACGCAGCCCCGAACTCCGGCACTTGACGCGCCGGGCGCCTGGCGCCATGCGGGTTCTGGCGCTGGCCGGGGCCAACTTGGTCCTTGGAGACTGGAGGTGGCAACCGGAAGCGGAAGAGCTGGGCTGTGCCAAGCCAATCCTCAATTCTTTGGCCAGATGGTAGTGATTTCCAACTCACGGATTAGGCAAGTTCCAAGCCAATCCTCAATGTTTTCGGGCAGATGGTAGTGGTTTCCCTTCTTGCTGTGCCCCACGTAAAGCTTACGGATTAGGAACAACCCAGACAAGCAGGAGCTTTGGGTGGGGTGACCCTCGAAGAAGCGAAACTTGAGGATACCCCGCCTATATATGTACACGCACGTGTACACCTCTATTTATCATTCTCTTAACGCAGTGAGGTAACTTCAACTGCCGATCCCTGCCTGGTGCGGGAGGTCAGCCAGAGATGCTCTCCCAGCAGTGGAATAACTTTGGAAGGGAATGGGACGCGTTGAACAGCCCCCCCCGCAAAGAATCCAGCGCCAGTTGTGTACGTTGAGAAAGCAACATTTATCCGGAAAGCGTTGCAAAGGGTTCGATTCGAATTGGGAGCCATATTTGCAAAGCGACGGCTGGCAACGTGCTACTTACTGCACAGCGACTTGCACAGGGCTTGTTGCACCGCGACCACAGGCACTGCGCTGCTTTTAGAGCTTCTTGCAAAGCGCTTAAGAAGCGCATGCGATTGATTCCTTTTTCTAGCTGAGGCGGCTTTGGGCGAAGGTAGGCAGAATGAATCCGCTACGGGGATTTGGCGGGTCGAAGCAGTGAACCAGCAGCTTTCCAAACGCGGCCCTGTGAACGTCTGCGCAGCTTCGGCGGGTCATGTGCTACACATGCAGTAACATGCGCACATTTGAGCTGGCCGAGCGGCCCTCTGGAGTGATTCTGCGGGTCGACGCGCAAAGACGCCAGCATGCAAACTCTTCTTTTTTTTCCGTGTCTCCTGGCTGGCACGCTTCTTGGAAATCCCGCTTGGGCTAAGTCAAGCACGCGACCTCGGCGCACAAGTCTCGCATCGAAGCGCAGCCTGCAAGCGCGAAAGGAAGAGACCGTTCTCGAAGCTTCAGGTTGGAAAGGTTCATCCAATGCGCATCTTGCTTCACAGATTTCGCCTTTCTTTCATCCAGTCCTCTTCCCCCATTCTTTTCAGTCCAGTTGCATGTAGATCAGGAAGAGAACGCTCCAATGTGTCTATCTCTTTTATGTTAGCTTCTGTAAGTTTTGGTTGTGAATGAACAGTTGTCAGACAGAAGATAGACATGTAAATGCAAGGCCGAAGAGTTTGAGGCGTAAGGAAGATGAATTGGACAGATACAACAAGTAGCACGCAAAGTGCACTTTGCCGGCCCTGCTCGAAAGTCTCAAGATTGAAGCAGGAAAGTAGCAGCTAGAATTGGGAATTCCCATTCTGGAGCACTTTCGCGCTTTCACCGGGGCATTGCAGATCTGGGCCCCTCTGTGACCAAAAATAGAAATGTGTCAAGAATTCTTGGCCGATGGCCACTGGGCTGGGCCCCGCGCCAGGGCCTGGGAGTCGGCCCACTGGAGCCTGGGCTTGCCGCTGCAGGAGGGGTGCAAGCGAAGTCCGGACATCGGAGGAGCTAGGTTTTTCAGCGAATGGTGCCCGCCCTCTCACCCAACTTTTTTGGTTGGGAGGGCTCCCCTATCTAAAATAGACGAAAACGAAAGAGTCGGTACCAACTTATTCGAAGCTCTCTGGAGGAGCTAGGAAACCCCAACAGCCGACAGCCAATTTTAGGACAGCACAGCATGCCTGCGCCCAACTTTCTTGGAAGGCAGAACACCCCGAGCCCCGAGCCCAGGCCTGAAGGCCCCATGAGGAAAGCTGCGTGTGGAAACCTCTCAGAGTGGAAACCATCGTAGAGGGCGTCAAGGTTGAGGTGCTTCAGTGGGAAGTCTGTTCCAGTTGAGTTCACAAGCCGTAAGAGCCAAGCTTGCGCTGCTGGCTTCGGAGGGTCGGGCTTAGGTTGCTGTTTTGCTGTTTCGGCACTTTCTGTGCACCCAGTGTTTTTGTTTTTTTCCTCGCATTTGCCATTGCCATTGAACCGGCGGATTTTTTTGGGGACTTGCTTTCGGGATGTCGACGGAACACAGGGCCACTGAGTGGAAGATTCCATAGGAAGCCGTCGGCTTGCTTGGGCGCTCTCGGATGCAGTCAGAGAATGAAAGACGAACACTGGTATCGTGGTATCGGATCATGAGGGGTGGAGTTAGCTTTGGTGCATTTTGCTTGGATGTTAGGACTTTAACGTTTTGCAAAATAGGGTTTTCCGAATGAAACCACTAACAGTTTAACTTTTCGCAGGGCTTCGCAGGAAGCAACCGAGATTCTCTTCTCAGCAAAAAATCGAGGGAATGCCCCCTATAAACCTTAGGTGCATTTTGCTTGGCAGGAAGCAACCGAGTTGAAAGGTGCACATGCAAGCCGCCAGCATTTGAGAGGCTCGTGAAGGAGGCCCATGGACATTCAGGCTTTGGGTCTGCTGGTCTTCGGCACTAGTTTTTGTTGTCTCCGCACAACAAGCAAACAGACCGCCGGCTAGATGACTCATACCCCATCTTGTCAGGTGAGCCACAATCAAAACCCGGGTAGATGAAGGTTAGCAAGGGGCAGTCCCAGCCAGAAGTAGTTGCGGCCACCTTCTTAATTCTTTACATGGTTCTGGGTAGACCATTTTTTATTACCGGGTTTTGATTGTGACTCAGGTGGTGTGTGCTTGCAATTGTTTGCGTGGGTTCTTCCGCCAGCAACGGGTTCCGGACATTCATGCCATGGGGATGAGTTGTGGCAGGAGGTGGCCGGGTGTCGCTGCACGGGGCCATGGGCGGACTTCCAGCATGTGCTGAA